AGCTCCTCCCCCGGAACTGGAGCTCAGAGCCTGAGACTCCCTCCCGATTGAAAATGACAACCGCGCCCTCAGCTGCCAACCCACTCCGCACGCACCTCCGCACCTTAGTATTTTACTTCCGTACTGCGCCTCCTCTGAGTCTCGGTATGCTTTTCTCTTTCCTTCTAGTTGTAGAATTTCCCCTCAGACAGCTTTCCTGTGGTTCTGGATGATGTCCGTTCTGTCTTTTAGTTGTATTTTTGAAGTTGTTGTGGGAGGCAGCAATCTCCGGTGTTTACCTATGCCGCCATCTTGGTTTTTCATCAATAAAGCTCTTTTAAAATCCCTAGCAGAACTGATCAAGATAAAAGGGGGTGGGGACTAACCAATTGCCAGTATCAGAAATTAAAGAGAGAATATAATTATAGATCCAACAGACATAAAATAATTATTTTGGGAGGCTCTATGCCAGTGAGTTTGAAACTTATATGAGGTGGACCAATTCCTTGAAAAACACCAGTTACCAAAACTGATACAACTTGAAGTAGATACTTTGAATGGCCCAATATCTATGAATGAAATTGAATTTGTTATTGGATTCTTCCCACAAGGAAATCCAGGTCCAGAGTGCCTTACTAGTGATCACTACCAAACACACAGGGGAGAAATAATACCACTTACACAAACTCATTCAGGAAGTTAGCCTACTCCTGATACCAAAACCTGACAGACATTATAAGAAAACTACAGACCAAAATTCCTCATAAAACAGATGCAAAGAATCCCTAACATAATATTAGCAAATTAAATCCAGTGATACATATAATGGTAATACATCATAATTAAGTAGTTTGTCCAAGGAAGAAATGCAAAGATATGACATTTAAAAACCAACTGATACAATTCATCACATTAATAAAACAAATGAGTAAAACCGTATGATCATTTAAAAAGATACAGAAAAGGTACCTGACAGAATTTAGTGCCTATTCATGACCAAAACTGTCAGCAAACTAGGACAAGAAGAGAACTTTTCCTTGATAAGGGACCTATGAAAATTCTAGTTAACATCATATTTATTGCTGAAATATTAAAAGCTTTTCTCCTAAGATTGGAAACAAGGCAAGAATGTCTATTCTCATCATTCTCATTCCACACTGTACTGAAATGCCTACCTAGTGTCATAGGCAAGAAAAATAAAAGTTGTAGAGACTGAAAGAAACAACAAGCCTCCCTATACTTATAGATGTCATAATTATTTATGTGAAAAAATTTAAAGAATATACAAAAATATTACTTGGAGTAATAAATACCTTTAATAAGGTCATAGGATACAAACTCAATATGTAAACTTAAATCAATTTTTTCCAGCAGCAAATAATTGGAAATGAAAATTTAAAACAATTCCATTGATAATAACATAAAATACTTAATAATAACTTTAACTAAAGGTATGTAAGACCTATATATTAAAAAGTAGAAAACAATGCTAAGAGAAGTTAAAGATCTAACTGGATAGATAAACCATGTTCATGACTTTGAGACTCAATATTGTTGAAACTTCTCTCCAAATTGGATTATGGTTGTTTATAGTTTCAACACAATTCCAATCCAAATATCAACAAGGTTTTCTGTACAATTGACAAGTTGTTTCTAAAATTTCAATGAAAATACAAAGGACCTAGACTAGCCAAAACAATCTTGAAAATTAAACAACCAAATAGGACAGTGATGGTGAACCTATGACACGCGTGTCAGAGGTGACACATGAACTCATGTTTTTGGTTGATTTTTCTTTGTTAAATGGCATTTAAATATATAAAATAAATATCAAAAATATAAGTCTTTGTTTTACTATGGTTTCAAATATCAAAAAATTTCTATATGTGACATGGCACCAGAGTTAAGCTAGGGTTTTTCAAAATGCTGACATGCCGAGCTCAAAAGGTTCGCCATCACTGAAATAGGAGAACTCCTGACTTTAAAATGTATCAATAGCAACAGTAATAAAAATGGCGTGGTATTGAAATCATAGAGAAATGGATCAATCTTTATAATAAAGAACCCAGAGATAGATTTACAATCAACTTATTTTTTTTTTTACAAAGACAATGGCACCTTCAATGAGAAAGAAATATTTTTTAGCAGATATTTCCTAGAGGATTAGGAAAATGTGTTCAAAAAATAAGTCTTGCTCTGGCCGGTGGCTCAGTGGTTAGAGCATTGGCCCATGGACCAAAAGGGTCCTGGGTTTGATTTCCCAGTCAAGGGCTTATACCTCAGTTGCAAGCTCAATCCCTGGCCCTGGTTGCATGCCTGCGGGAGGCAACCAATCTATGTGTCTCTCATCTCTATGTCTGCCTGCCTGTCTGTCTGTCTGTCTCTCTCTCTCTCTCTCTTCCTCTCTCCTTCCTCCCTCCCTCCTCTCACTCTAGAAATCAATAGAAAAAAATATCCTCGAGTGAGGATTTTAAAAAGTATACTTCACAACACACATAAAAATTAGACCTAGATCATAGACCTAAACATAAAAGCTAAAAGTATAAAGATTCCAGCAGAGTACATACAAGAATATCTTCATGAACTTGAGGTAGGCAAAAATTTGTTAAAGAGGACACAAAAAGTACTAACCACCAAAAGAAATATTAACAAATTAGACTGCAAGATTAAAAACCTCTGCTCATCAAATTTCAACATTGAGAATATGAAAAGGCAAGTCACAGATTAGGAGAATATATTTTTAATGCATAGATCTGACAGAGGGCTTACATCCAGAATATTTAAAGAATTCTTACAATTCAATAACAGAAAAACACAACAGAACATGACTTAAAAAGGCACTTCACAAAAGAAGATATACCAATGGACAATAAGCATATGTAAAGTGGGTATTATCAGTCATCAGGGAACACAGTTTTAAAAAGCACAATGAGATACCACTCACATCCATCAGAACGGTCACGACTCAAAGGATTGCTAATATCTGCTGCTGGGAGGATGTGGAGTAAGTAGAACTCGTTGCTGCTGGGAGTGCCAGATGATGTACGGACTTTGGAAACGGTTTCTAAGTTTCTTAGAAAGTTAAACATACAACTACCCCATCAGGAAACAATTCCAATACTAGGTGTTTCCTCAAGAAAAAGGAGAACATGTATCCATAAACATGGCCACAACACAAATGTCTATGAATAGGTGAGTGACTAAATTGTATATATTTATACAATGAGATGCTACTTGGTCAAAGAAAAGAACAACCAGCCAATACCCGCAGTAATATAGATGAATCCTAAAAGCAGTGTGTTGTACAAATGAGTACATATTCTGTGACTACATGTATATGTAGGTCATGAACAGGGAAGATTGATTTACAATAATTGATAAGAACATTGGTTGTAGTCAGTATGAGCTAGAAGGGAACTTTCTGGAACAATAGAAATAGCTGTCACGATTGGAGTGGTTGTTACAGGGGTATTTACATTACTCAAAACTCATCAAATTGTGAGTTTACTGTATATAAATTTAGCCTCAATAAAAATGTTATTACTAATACATATGGTTCGACCTTCAGGCTGGCATACTTATGCTTTCATATACCCCATTTAATGTTCCAAAGTTGTTCCTCAGAAAAATCTATAGCATTACACATATAGACCATAAAGTAAAAAGATAATAAATTAAAAGTCTATTCACATAATGTCAAAATAATTTTGGGACAAGTAACATAGTTTGTCCCTCAGCAACTCTACTTTTGAAACATGTTCTTTCTAATCCTATTAAAACTAAAACAAATGGTATTTGTTTTATTCTGGTATCGTGTCTCACAAAATAAAACAAAACAAATCATAGTGACTGATTTTAAAAACAAATAAATTAAATAAAATAAAACCTAATCTGTGTTGTTAGAAGTCCATGTGGTGGCTTCCCTTGGGAGCAGGGTGGAGCCGAGGGGATGTGAGGTGCGCTGAAGGGGGCAGGAGGTTCTGTTTCTTGATCTGGGTGCTGGTTACACACATTTTCTGCTTGTGAAAAGTTACCAACTTTGCACTTATTTTATATCTATCTATCTAGATAGATAGATATACACACACTTTCCTCAGTGTCTCTCAATTATACTTTTATAAAATTAAAAACAAGAGCAAATTAATCCTAAAATGTTAATCATAGTGAAAGACTGGCAACAATGGATAAACTCAAAATAGAAATTGTTTTTTGAAAGAGAGAAGAGAACAGAAGACAACAAGGAGAAAGGGGAAGGAAGGAAAGAAGGACAGACATCCGGACACAGTTCCTGATCCCTCCGTGGTCCTCTTTTAAGGTCAGTCGTTATGATCATTTTTGGAATGTGACTCAGAGCTTCCTAATGTTTATCGGTGAGATCCACGAGCAGCAGGGGTTCAGACAGGGCTGTGGATTGGATGATGCCAGGTTTCTTCTGAATGGTACACATGGACGTGGTGGTGGAGATGGAGATGGTGATGTAGATGCAGGTGGTGTTGGCTAGTTCCCTGACCATAGCTGCTCGGTTGGTGGGATTGATGCCCCATAGCAGACTGGCATGACTTTGGCTCTTGGTGAGAATGAGGTCCTGGGGTTTGTAGTTTGCTAGGAGCTGCATGCAGGCTGCGGAGCAAGGTGAGGAAAAGGGGACCTGCTTCTGGACAGGGCGCCATTGCTCATCGTCTTTGGGGTTCGTCTTCATGCTCTTGTTGCATTGATTTCGCCTCCCTTTCCTATGCCAGGTCCGTCCCTCTTTAACAATTGCCGTGTTCCACAGTCTTACCGCCTGGTAGGAATCGGGAAGGAACACACAGGTGGGACCTGGATGCCCGGTGGTTTCTTTGGGCTCGAGAGGGAGTGGGGTTGCTGGGTCAGCCGGTCATAGTCTGTGTCTGAAGGCGACCAGGTTCTGATGCTGGGAGCTCATGGGAAATGGGGGTCCGAGAGAAAGGAGGACAGTGCGGTGCTGCCGACGGAGGCAGAGGGGCACAGAATCGCGCACTGTGCTCAAGGGGCTCCATTCTCCCTGGGTGACACACAGCTGGGATGAGCAGAGGTGCTCAGGGACGCTCAGAGGCCAGACCTGGAGAAGAGGCTGCAGGTGTGGGAGATGGAAGGGTATGTCGGGGGACAGACAGCAAGAACAAAGGGCAGCGGCAGGTCTGAGCTCTGAATCCACACGCAGCACCGCAGTGTGGGGAGCAGGTGCGGCAAGCCCCTCCTGAAGCATCGCCCCCTTCCTCCTGCACTGCAAATACCTCGTGAGCACTGAGGCGACTGACAGACAAGGGCACAGCTGGCTGGCCATGTCACCCACTGTCTTCGGCAGGACGTGAAAACCAGGGAGCCACACGAGGAAAGCCACAGCGAGGTGACGATGCCCCCAGCTTCGTATTTCACAGCTTCGGGGTCTGCCCCTAGCATGGAGTGGAGAGGAGAAGGCGTTCCGTGAGAGACAAGTGTGAGCAAAGTGAAGAGAGAGGAGAGTCCGGAGAACATGGAAACAGCCCGCGGGGCCCTCCTGGAGGGGCCCTGCCGCTCCTGGCGAGGCCCAGCCAGATGTGTATGAAGTTGGTTGTCTCCTCACCCGTTGAACAAGATGAGGTTGATGAAGTTGAAGGTTTTGGTCAGGAAATTGCCAGGGATCCAATTTGGGGAGCCACACTTGACCTCTTAGGCACAGAGGCCGAAACAGGTGCATTTTACCAGGCCCAGGCCTGAGCCACAGAACTGAGATGGAACCTGCAGATGCCCCAGATGCTGGTGAACCGGCCATGGCTGGCGTGCACCTCCCACCGAGGAGGAGGATGCCTCCAGGCAGCCGCTGGGACGCTCGGGACCCACACAGCTCCCTGGATTCATCAAAGCCAGGAGGAGAAATGGTGTTATTCTTTCAAGAATTGTTGTTATCTGGGGAGAAAGGAAGAAAAAATAAAACTACCTTTCACCAAATGATTTGATTTGCGGATGACCCCTGGGGACACCTGGACTCCCTTTGGTTTCCTGTAAAAGGCGAGTTTTTATTTTCCCCTCATCTGTTCTTGACAAAGAAGCCACAGCCACAGCTGCAGGTGCTGAAATCTCGCCCCTCTAGGCTGCCTGCTGCCTGGCTGCTGATTTATTATTAAGATAATCCTTAAATCTTCTTCATTGGGCCAACCAATCTGCCTCGTCAGAGGGGCCATGGGAAGCTCTTGACATTCCTCTTGGCAGAACGGGGAGAAATGAGCCCCCAGAAAGCTAGCAGCAAATATCTCTGCCCAGAAAGAAATTTGGTGTAAGACCAGGGGTGCACCCATGGGGGGCGGGGGTTGTCTCCAAATCTGGGCTTAGAGCTCCAGGCCTGAGGGCAGTAGGTTGGTGCCACCTTGTGTGCCCCGCCATTCTCAGCGGGGTCTGGGCACCGCCTTGTCCTCCTCCCTGGCAGGCCCAGTGTTTGCCTTTTTTGTAGGGAGGGAGCAGAGTGCAGCTGGGCTGAGCTAGAGTGGTCCCTGGGGGAGTCTCGCAGGAGGAAGTTGATGAGGCCGATAAATATTCCTCAAGCTGATATCCAAGCTCAGCCCAGATGCATCAGCTGTCGAGCCTCCCACCTCTCACTCTTTTGGAATTGCAGATGCTTCCCTGGCAGGTGGGTCTTTCCTTAATTTTTTTATTTATTTTGGGGACAAAGAGAAAGGAGGCCAGATAAGGCAGCGAAGGTCCCTCAGTGATGCCTGCCCGACGAGATGAAAGCACGCTTCCCGATTACGGTTTCCGCAGGTGGAGGGCCCGGTCTACTGTCAGTGCGCCAAACAGCATGAGCGCCATTGCCAGGAGCGCTTCGGGCACCTTGTCCTCTGAGAGCAACTTGGCGGGACCAGGCTGAGTGTTTCTACTGCGGCCAGAAAGCGGCGTCGGAAGAGGGCCAGGCCCGAGCAGACATTCATGCTCAGGGAGACATCCCCCTCTTCAGCCTGGATTTCAGAGGCCCCTCCACCCCCAAACCTGAGCTTGGCACTAGTCTCTCATACCTGCTGGCCGCATTCTGCTCACCCTACACAGGGGTCCCTCCTCCACTGCCCTCAGAAATGGTGGGGGCCCACTGCTCCTCTTTCTCTCTTCTTCTCCTTTGACTTGGCCCTCAAGGCCTTGGTCTACTGTCTCTGACTCCAGAAAACTCCTGGCCTCCCCTCCCCTGGCCCCAGAAGAGTGGCCATCCCCTGCACAGCCCGGACCTCACTGGCTGCATGGCCCCGGGATCCTGGACATCCTCTGGCTCAGGTGTGGTCTGCGGTTCCCAGATGGAGAGATGTACGTCCCACTTCCTCCACCGAATGCGCAGCCCTGGGTGGCTGGGGCTGCCTTGAGCACTTCTGTGAGACCGGGACACAGGTGGGCGTTTACCTGAGGTCCCAAGCTGGTGGGAGCTTTGCTCCCGCTGTCTGCACACAGGCCTGACTGAGAGTCCTGAGGGGCAGTCTGGTCTCTCCCTCCAGCCCCTTCTGGTTGGCGAACGTCCCCGTTCTTGGGTTGATGGTGCAGGCCTGGGTGAATTCTCAAGGGAGGCCAGGCGCCCTGGGCACAGAGGAGGTGGCAGCACAGGGCCCCAAGTGAAGCCCACAGTCAGCTCAGTGAGGGACCTGTGCCTCGCGCTGCAGCCCAGCCCCATCTGTATCTGGCTTTCACCTTAATTAGTAGGAGCTTTTCAGAGAAGCAATAAAACAACGACATAGCAACTTGGACAGGGCATGGAAGGCAAGAGCCATTTCAGTAATGGAGTCAGTGGAATTGCTATTCTAAGAAGAGAGGGAGAGGGAGACCACTCTTGGCTATTAAGAGCCGAGGGCAAAGCTGTCCTGTCGTCTGCCTGGTTATTAAGGATAACTGATGGCCCCCCCACCTCCAACAACACAGGAAAATTGCAGCTCCATGAACCCAGAGTTCTGGACAGTGGTTCCCAGAAAGCCTAAGTGCTGAGCGCGGCAGTCTGAGAGGTGCGTGGGCCCGGGCTCGCTGGCTCACCCCAGCGGCCCAGGCAGAGAGGATGATGCGAGTCCAGCCCTCCACCGGGAAGGGAGGACAAACGTGTCATGCGCTGGGCTGGCCTGGGGCTAGGTGAGGTTGTAGAAGAGCTGGCGGTGGGGTGGTGGATCCTGTAGGGGAGAGGGTGATGTTGATGGCCACTCTCCTGGTGGAAGCACACCTCAGCACCAGCTAGAAGGTTCTGGGAGCTCCCTGGTTTGACACATGGGGCAACTGAGGACTAAACACGAGTTCATTTTCCCAAAACCTGTATTTGCAAGAAGCACAGAAGGAAGCTGTTCTGGTGTTTGAGTAGATGCCATGCCTCTCTCTCTCAACACCTTCACGTCCACCTCGGGGAGGGCTGGCTGCCCGTGGTTGAACCCTGTAACTCTAACCCAGTCAGAGGCCCTCGAGGGTCTCACCCAGAGGCGACGCAGATGCAGAATGGAGACTCTGAGTGGTAGGATGGCGTCAGGTTCTGGTCCTCACTGTTCGTCACGAAGCAAGTTCCCTGTGTCCAAGCTCCAGGTTCCTCATCTGCCCACTGAGGAGGATGCGCCTGGGCCTGGGGATGGGCCGTGGTGAGGGTGCAGTGCTGGATAGATGGGAAGCAGCATTGGGAATGGGAAAGTGATATACAGAGAGCCCTACAGATGAGCAAGGTATGGGGGCGGGGCGGGGTGGGGGAGAGAAGGATACATGGTAGGTAGGATGACAGTCAGTGGATGGGGAGATGGGTAGGTGGGATGGTCAGCAGAGGCTCTCGTAGTGGCCTAAAAATGTTGATTCGGGCGCCACTCCAAAACCAAATAGGTGACTCTGGGCCCCAGGAGGGTCTCTGGGATGGGAACGGGGTATGAGGTACCAGAGTCACCCTCCGCTATTCATCTCCATACTGTCCACTGTTCTGGGACCTGATGTCAGGGTGCCTCAGCCTAAGAGTGGGGTTTAGTTATGTGTTCCCTGCACCTAGAATGGTGCCTGCACAGAAGAGCAAGCCAGTGGTGCCCCGGGGTGCCTGGGAGAGAGCCAGCTGGAAGGAGGGTGCGCCAGCATTGTGAACAGCGGGTGGACAGTTCTGACCTCTGAGTCCTGTCTAGGTCACTTCCCCACCATCCAGCCTTCCGTGGGAAAGAAGCAGGAGGAGAGACAAGGATCTGGCAGGAGATGGAGAGGGGGTTTCCTGGAAGGGACAGCAAAGGTGTTGGGAAGGGCCTCTGAGGTGTGCGACACAGTGGGGAGGAGCGAGGGGCCCTGAGGTCATGGGGGGGCGGGACCAAGGGGGAGGGCTTGCTGCGCAGGCAGGCCCCACCC